ATAACTGAATGACCTTGCAACATTTTAGCAGGTGCATATGGACCTGCGTGGCGCACCGATTCAGTCACCGCGTTAACGGCCTAAAGACGTGGAGGTACTGGTGGTTTAAGTGTGTACATCTTCTTCCCCTGTTCCTGCGCTTGTTCAACCACTCATTCACTGGCAATGCTACCTTCTTCCCCCGAATACAATGTACGGTCATTACAGCCATATCTAGACTGAAAGATGCCTCAAATACAGCTATAATGACCATATGTTGTATTTGGGGGAAGAAGGTAGGTAGGTAATGAGCCACTGCATACTCCTGACCCTTCCCATTCTGATAGTTGGCGTTTGTGACCATGGGATCTTCTGCAGGCGAATGTTTTCCACCCCTATATACTCTGCCCATCTCTGTCCCTGCGTCACATGTATTATTAGCTGTGATCTCCATCTGAGCTTGTACCCAAGTTCGGTTGTGTAGTCTAACAGATCGACTCTGACAGTTGTATTGAAGTGGCCTCCTTCTAGGCTCCCTACCCATTCTACTGGATCTACCTCCAGTTCGTTAATGTCTGCAGTAGGGCAGTAGATGGTGTACTTGTCATTTTCTATGAGACTACGACTCTTACTTTATGTATGAGGTCCGTCCTGACTGAGACCTGCATCTTAGACGCCTTGGCTGCTTCACTTGTAGTGGTTCCTGTTTCTTCTATTCTGAAAATAGTACATACTCAATAGTAGCCATACATGTCTTGGACCCTCTCTTTCTCTGAACAACAGTGCTATTGATGGAGCCAAATCCGGATGCCATGTTGCTGAAGTCCCAACCTGCCAGGAAAAATTGTAGCACTGTTATGATCCTGGCTATATCCGAAGTGCAAATTCACAAGGAAAGACAATGCCACCCAATTGCAAAAGAAATGAAAGCCATTGCAAAAAGATAGAGACCAAGGAAGAAGAAAAGAAAAGGAAAGAAAGAAGAAGAAGAAGAAGAAGAAGAAGAAGAAGAAGAAGAAGAAGAAGAAGAAGTACACCAGCAAGACCAATGACAAATCTCCCTCCTCTCTCCACTCTTCTCCTCCTCCTTGTCTCCCCCAATCTTATTCTTCTCCAAAATAATAATGATAGCAATGAGTGGTCGAACCAGAATCAATATCCAAAGCTCCCTCTTACTGCCAGCACAACAATAGGTCCACCATAGCCATGGCCTCCCTCTTCTCCTTCCTCTCACAGGCCGAGGCTATGGCGGACTACTAAGGGTCCTTCCCTCCTGTGCAAAAGACAATGCAAAGCAGCTATGGACGCTGCTTTTCAGGCCTCCATGCCTGACTCTTCCTCGAAGCTTCCTTGGTGCGGCACTACCCCAACTGGGGCCTTCCAGATGCAGCGCCTATCAAGGTGATGAAGATGGTGTCCACCATAGCCAGGTGGGTACCTCGCCACTCTCCTCCTCCGCCCCCTTCTTCCTCCTCCGCAAGCTGGCCTGCTCACCATAGCCAGGCAGAGCGCCCAGCTCTCTTCCTTCCTCCCAGGCACCGCTCTGAGAACAAGCGCCCGCTCAAGCAGCATGACGCCGAAACTTGCATACCGCAAATGAGGTAGAGCTCAGCGCTCTACCTGGAGATATAGCGGCGTACTTGCCTCTTGGGCGGTGACTTCCAGGCCGCGCGGCCTCCAAGCAACTGGTACTTCCTCCCTTTCGGAGGGAAACATCATTCCAGGCTCTGATATCGTCCGCACAGGCCCTAGACTCAGGCTAATTGGACTGGTACCCGCCTACCTCTAGCCTAACGCTACTGGGCCTCTAAAAATGCCAACTTTTGTCTTCTTCTGCTCGGCCTCCAGTTCCCGACACATCTACCGCTACTTGAGTGGTCACCGGCCTACCTGCTACTCGAGTGTTTTTCCCCCACTACCCTACTGTCGCGGGCCTATTCCCTGCTATTGGAGTTTTTTTCCCGCTGCAACCCTCAAAGTCAGTACCGGCCCCGCGGGCCTCATTACACACAAGTGCCCTGTTGGGACACACACACGATCAGGTAGACGTGCACTCAGACAGGCACACGGACCAGCAAGCACACACACACACACACACACACACACACACACACACACACACACACACACACACACACACACAC